GGGCCGCAGCTCCTGCAGCATCTCCTGGCACACCGACACCTGCGGGCAGCGAGGGGGTCACCGGCCCTCGCTCTCCTCGCCACCACCCATTCGCCAGGCTCTGCGTCGGTCTCTTCCCTCCCCGCCACCCCAGCTTCTCTCCACACCCCCTCCTCTCCTCTCCACACCCCACCGGCTTTCCTCGCCTCTTTCTCCCCGCCCCACCCCCAGGCCTTTCGTCTCCTTTCCCTTCCCTCCTGGTTCCTTCCTCTCACCTCTCCAGCTCTCTGCTCCAGTCTCTCCACTTTTCTCTCCCCTCTCCGTTCTTACGTGGGCTTCTTCCTGAATCTGCCCTTCACTTTCTCTCTCTTGTCTTTTCACTTTAAATTTTCTGCCTCTAGTCCTTCCATCTCCTATCATTACTGCTAGGCATATATGTTGAGCACCTACTGTGTGCCAGGCAGTTCTGGGCCATGGATACAGCAGAGAACCAGACAGCAGTCCCTGCCCTTGTGGAGGTTAAATTCCAGTGTGCGGATGCAAAAAAAAAAAAAAAAAAGGAAAAAAAGAAAGATGCAAACGCAGGTGGTATGCGAGCCGATGATGAGTGCTTTGAAGAAAAAGTCCGCAAAAGTGGTGGGGCGTGTGGGTGGGGAGTGAGGCTGAATTTCAACAAGGGGCAGGTAGGGAAAACTCATAGAGAAGAGGTGTGCCCTGGAGCCCGGAGGGAGAGCAGGCAGCAGCCGCTCAGCAGGACAAAGGTGCGGAGGTGAGAGTGGCGGATGTTCAGGAACCATGAGAATGGGGTGTGCAAGGGGGAGAGAGGTAGAGGAGGTGAGAGGAGCAATGGGGCCAGCTCATGGGAGGCCAGAGGACACTAAGGATTTGGCTTTTACTCTGAGTTGGATGGGAGTCAGTGGAGAGCTTGCCAGGGGGGATGCTGTGCTCTCACAGGATCATGGGTGTTGAGACTAGACCAGTGGTCGGCAAACTGCAGCTCGGCAAACCGCGGCTCTCATGTGGCTCTTTGGCCCCTTGAGTGTGGCTCTTCCACAAAATACCGACTTCTGCGCATGGGCCACGAAGTTTCAATCGCACTGTATGTGCGCACCCGCACGTGGTATTTTGGGGAAGAGCCACACTCAAGGGGCCAAAGAGCCGTACGTGGCTCGCGAGCCGTGGTTTGCCAACCACGGGACTAGACTGTAGGGAGGCCAAGGGCAAGAGCAGGGAGGCACCGAGGCCGCTGTGGAGGCGAGAAAGGGTTGGATATTGGGTATAGTATTTTGAAGGTGGAGCCAACAGGACTTGCCAAGAGATCAGATAGAGGGTGGGAAAGAGAGGAAGGAGTGGAGGGTAATGCCACGTATTTTGACCTGAGCAACCAGAATGACGGTGTTGCCTGGTGGGTGGGCAGGGACTCCATGTTGGACACCTGCGTTACGTGTCCGTTAGACATCCACGTGGAGATGTCGAGTACAAACCCTGGGTTCAGGGAGAGGTCCCTGTGAGATACACATTTGGAGGCTAAGGTAGGCAGCCCCCAAGATCCCATCCCCTGGTGTTCCCACCCTTGTGTCAGCCCCTCTGCCTTTGCGTCCAGGTTGCTGTATGACCAACAGAACATGCTAGGTCAGCTGACATGCTGGCTTCTGCCGGCTTGTGGATCACTCACTCAGGAAAGTCGGCTGCCACGCCGTGGACACACACAGCCCTGTGGCGGCCCCTCTGCGAGGAACTGGGGCCTCCTGCCAGCTGCCATGTGCATGTGTGTGCTAGTCGTGCTCTTTATTTTCTGTATCTTAGGATGTTTTGATATCTTTAAAATCTTGCTGACCAGGGAGAGACTGCCCTTCTCAGAGGGAGCCAATTCTTAGAGGTAGATAGCAAAGGGCTACCGGCCCACCTTCCACATGCCAACCAGCCAATCCCAAGTCCACACCCCCACCCACACCCTTCATGTACCTCTCACACATCAAGCTGTCCTAACTCACCTGGGAGCACGCACCAGACAACTGGAGACCACTCCTCTAGCCCAGAGCCGGCTGACATTATCCAAACCAGCCAGTTCTAAGCTGTTGCCCTGCCTTGTCTTCCTTCAGAAACCCCAGTAAAGGCTCTGGCCTAGTCCCATGACACCCCACCCCCGCCACCTCCTTCTGCTTCTGCACAAACCTTGTGCTTCCCCATGTGGTCCTGTGTGGCACGGTGGGGCCCCTTCTCTTGGAAAATGTAATAAAAATATTCCTTCAATGGCATCGGATTCTCTGTGTCTTCACTCAATCACCTCCATAAATTAAAATCCACAAGTACAGCCATGCATGCCCGGCTGGTGTGACTCAGTGTTGAGTCGACCTATGAGCCAGGTCATGATTCGATTTCTGGTTAGAGCACATGCCCAGGGTTTCTGGCTCCATCCCCAGTAGGGGGCATGCAGGAGGCAGCCAATCAATGATTCTCTCTCATCATCGATGTTTCTCAGGGCCCTGGTCGGGGAGAAGCTGCAATTGAGGTATGTGCCCTCTCTGAAATCAATTTTAAAATTTTTTTTAAAGCTACAGGGACATTTTGAGGCAGAGCCATCCCAGAAGTGGCTCCTCCCGCCCAGCAGAGCATTCAGCCGACATCGTGTCCATGACCTCAGCAGAGACCCTGTGCGGCCAGAATGGCCCAGCTAAGCTGCTCCCACTTCCGGACCCACAGAAACTGAATTGATATGTTTGCTGTTTTAAGCTGCTGAATTTGGGGACAATTTGTCACATGGCAATAGATAACTAACACAGGAGTCCACAGAATGGAAGGTCTTACCATGAGGTTGATGGGATCACCAAGGAGAGAGGCAATCCCAGGCCCGCGCACAAGAATTCCCACAAAGCAGTGGCCAGGGAGGTAGAGGAAAGCGAGGTGGGTGGGGAAGAGTGGGTTTTGAGGACAGAATGATGGGCCGGGCTGAAGCCTATCGCTACCTCACGTGTGATGAGGCCTGAGCTTCCGGCACTGGATTTCAGCCGTGGAGGCTGCTGGTGACAAGAGTGGCTTCAGCAGAGAGGTGGGGGCAGCAGCTGGACTAGAGTGTGTCCGAGAGTGAATGGGAGGAGAGGAATTGGGAACAGCAGGGAGACACAAGTCTCAAGGCTGTCAGGGAAGAGGAGCGTGGCTGGTGGCTGGGAAGGGAAGTGGGCTTGAGAGGGTTTTTTGAAGATGGGAGAAATGACAGCACATTTGTATGCTGCCGGCCTTGATCCAATAAAGAGAACTGATGATGCCGAGGCAAGGAGAGAACTGCTGGGGGGTGTCCCGGGGAAGACGAGAGGGGAGGAAATGGGGCCAGATGGGGCCTTAGCTAGGAGCCTGGAGTAACTCCCAGGGCCGTGGAGAAATAGGCGGCAGCTAGATGTGGAAGGGGTCTCTGCATGTGTTCAGGAGAGTAGAAGCAAAGTCATCAGCCAACAGTGAGGATGGCGGGAGGGCTGGCTGGCAGGGAGAGGGAAGGTCCGAACAGGCTGGGAGGGCAGGGGCGGGAACAGTCTGGCGATGGAGGAGTGGGCTGGCAGCACCCGAGGCCGGACACAGTGGGAGACCCGTCAGCAATCCAGGCTCGTGCAGCTGCATTCTCCTCACCTCTCCCCCCGTTTCTTCTTGCTTTACTACCTCTGCCTCTCCCCACATCCTCTCCCCGGCTGTGCCCCTTCCCACTCCTTTCCCCGGCATCGGCATCCTCGTCGCTGCCTCTGCCCTCCTCATGCCTGTGGATTCTCCCCCCAAACTGCTCTCTCCTCTTCTCAACCTCCTCTACCCCTGAACTCTCCCAGACCCCCTCACCTCCCTGGCTCCCCGGCCCCTCCTCGCGGCCTGTTTCCCTCCAGTGTGGCTCCCAGTGCTACAGTCTTCATGCCCCTCCGACCTGGACGCCACTGCAACCCCACACCCTCTGCCAACCTCCTCACCTCTTCGGACTCTGCTGACCTCCGCGTGGACCATATAAACTCCATGACGGCCACGAAGACAGCAATGATGAGGCCACAGATCAGCACAACAAAAATGCCGCCGATGTTCTCCATGCCCAGACCTGGGGGTCGGGGGAGAGCCAGGGGTTGAACTGTGCAGGCACGGGGCTGTGAAGGGGCTCCCAGGGGGCACGCATGCAGGTGGCTGACCTTTAGCACGGCGGTCCTCCTCCTTGGGACACCGGCTCCCCTCCCACCACTTGCGCTTCAGGATCTCCAGCCGGTTGTTCTCTTGGAGCTGCAGGATGGCCAGTGTGATCTCGTCCCGGAACGGCGAGCCTGGGCGGCACATGGAACGAGCGGCCATGGGGCCCGAGCGCTGCCACCAGTCCCCCGCTGCTCCCTGTCTCCACCATGTCCCCAGGGTGTGCCCTGTACACCTTTGAGTCTGACCACTGCTCCCCTGCAACCATGCCTGGCCACGCCCACTGCACCCCAGGTCAGATTGGCCGTGGTCCCTCCCTGCAGCCCCCTCTCATCCCCAGCCAGGCTCTTCTTCACACAGCAGCCAGAGAAACAATTTCAGAAACAGTGACCATGCCTCCCTCATACTTAAAACTCTCCAGTGGCTTCCTGGTGCTGTGAGGACAAAGTCCTCTCCTGGCCTACACGGTCTAGCCCAGTGGTTCTCAACCTGCTGGCCCTGTAAATACAGTTCCTCATGTTGTGACCCAACCATAAAATTATTTTCGTTGCTACTTCATCACTGTAATGTTGCTACTGTTATGAATTGTAATGTAAACATCTGATATGCAGGATGGTCTTAGGTGACCCCTGTGAAAGAGTCGTTCGACCACCAAAGGGGTCGCGACCCACAGGTTGAGAACTGCTGGTCTAGCCGCTGGCCAGGCCACTGGGGCTCCCCCGCCCCCACGGCTCTCAGCTCTAGCCACACTGGCCTCCTGGCTAGTCCTCCAGGAGGCCCCCCTCACCCACCCATCACTAGGGAGCTTTCCCTCTGCCTGGGATGTTCCTTCTCTCAGTTCACTGAGGGCTCTGCTCATGTGGTGCCTCCTCAGGGGGTCTTCTCTAACGGACTTTATTTACAATGACACAAAGCGCTCCACTCCATCAGTTCTTCCCCTTAATTTACTTTAGAGCAGTTGTCACCACCTGACATCACATTATAAAGCTGTGTTCACTGTCGGTTTGCTGTCTGTGCCCCTAGCAGAGGACAGGAGGGCGGAGCTTGCCAGCTCCCCGCTATGTTGTTCCAGCATCCAGCATCCAGCATCCAGCACACGCCTGCACACGGCCAGGCAAAAGACCCCCAGCCACACCTCTCCTCTGCATGGCCCAACCCTGGACCACCTGTCTCCTCCAACCATCCCACGCCTACCCTCTCCTGTGCTCATTTCTTCATTCACTGCAATACGTCTTGAGCATCGACCAGTGCCAGGAACTCTGGATATGGGCGAATGGGCTGCTTAGCATTTATCAGGCACCTACTATTTGCCAGAACCTTGGTTTATAGAATTGTATTCACGCCTCACAGTGATCCTGTGAGGCAGGTATTACCAGCCCCAGGGCAGGTGACACTGAAGCTGAGTTGGGGGGCAGAGGGAGCAGGCATTTGAATCCAGGTCAGTGACTCCAGAGCCTGTCCCCACAAAGCACCAGGCCACACTGCTTGCCTGGCACAGTACCAACGCTGTTGCGAAGCAGCTAAGATTTGGGGTAACGTGTTAAACAGTAATATGTGACTATCGCAGCAGTCATCAGCATATGAAGAGGTTTAAAAGCTAAAATGCCCAAATTTGGTGGCAATATTGGTGGTGAGCCCTGGAAAAGCATGTCTAAGTCTTGCTGGCCGATCCACCCATTCTTCTATCCTCCCTCCGCCTCTCCACCGAGCCAGCAGTATCCGTCAGCCATTTTCTGAGCACCTATTCTGAGCCAGGCTGTGGGTTTGGTGCAGAGAATCTGAAGTAATGAAACCAGGTCCTCACCCTCGAGGGGCCCTGGAGCCATGTGAGAAGGCGCCAGCCTCCTGCCGTGTGCTGACCTGCACAGTCTCCTGCACTCCCAGCAGCCCTGCGGGGCTGGAACAGATTGCTCCGAGGCCCGTTTTCACAGGTTGAGGGCGCAGAGGCTCAGGAAGGTGACATCACCTGCCCAAGGCCCTACAGCCAGGAAGCCCCGCGGCCTGCTTGCCAAGCCCCCAGTCCTGCCACCACATACCCAGCGGCATGCCGATGCCGTAGCCCTTGGTGTCAAGCAGGCCCCCGATCTGGGTGAGGTTGCAGTTGAGGCGCCGGTGGTACTCGTTCATGGTGGACTCGAGCAGGAAGGCATAGCGAGAGTTGAGGACGCGGGCGATGCCCTCCTCTGTGCTCTTGACAAACACGCTGGGCTGCTTCGACTGCATGTAGTTCCACATGCGCTGGTACGTCTGGTACCGTGAATTCTGGACAGAATGGCACAAGGGGGAGAGATGAGGGGCTTTCCACCCACTGCCCTTCCCCTGAACCCTGTCCCCTGCCCTCCAGCAAGTCTCTCTCAACCCAAGAGAGAGCGAGGAGAGCAGAGGAAGACAGAGGAGAAACCAGTTGGACAGACTGCTCAAGGTGCGGTCCAAGACACCCCACACCCCCCAGCCAGTGAGACCCCAAGGACCAAAGACTTGGAAAGAAGGGGTCACGGTCTAGGTTTCAACACCAGCCCTGGCTTCCCAGTGCTCCCAGGCCTTACTCATAGAACCCGGGAGTAGATGCTCAACCCTCAACTCTACCGGGGGTCCAGTCTGGTTCAGGAAGACCTGAGTCCATGCTGAATAGGACAGCTTACTTCCTATGGACCTTTTGGGAATGACTACTCCTGCCCCGACCACCTGACGCCCGCCCTCCTGCACCCACATCTCCCTCTTTGATCTGAGGTTCAGACTCTGCTCTTCCTTGGTACCCCACAGACCCTGCCCCGTGGCTCGGCAACCTTCCAACCTTATTCCAATGGCCTCCCACCTGGGGGAGCTGGTCCCGCCACCCATCTGAGAAACCTGGGAACTCACCCCCTCCTTCTCAGCTGCTTACCCCTTCAGCCAGCGGCCACTGCCCAACTCCAGCCCACTTGTCTACTCCCAACTGCCCCAGAGGGAATGTCCAGCTTTTAAAGGGGTTACCCCTCAACCGTTCCCACATCCCCACTCACAGGGTCCAATCTCAGCCCTACTCTGGCATTCAAGGCCTCTGCAGTCTCTCACCCAAACCTCCTCACCAGGCTTGCTTTCCTTTTGATTTCTTCCCACCACCCAAGACGCACTGGACAAGCTCCCTTCCCCTTGAAGGGCCTTCCCTCTTCTCCGCTGCCCCATCTTGCCAGGCCTGACCGTCGCAGCCTCCAGGACCCCATTGGCCTGTCCGGCACTGATGTGGCACTGGATCCCGCACCTGCTTCCTTTCCCCTATTCCGTGGGTGAAAGTCCAGTTTCCCCATCCAGACAGCAGACTCCTCACGAGAGCACGAGCGTGTCCTCTGTTCCCTGGCCTCCCGGACTTTCAGGACATTCAGGTCCTCTGACCCAGGAGGTCCCGCCCAGCCCCACTCTGAGCTGCTATGCATGGTGGGGACCCCGACACCAAGCCCAGACAGCTTCGGGGGCCCACCTGGAAGAAGGTCATGGTGGAGCCAGCGTGGATGGTGCCATACTCAATGTTGGTCTGGTCTGCCAGGTCGTCAGCCGACTCCACAGGCACCTCCATGCGCTGCACGGTGAGGAAGGCGGCCAGGTTGGCGGTGTAGGAGGAGATGATGATCAAGGTGAAGGCCCACCTGAGGGGTGGGAGGGGTGAGCTACAAGCTGGAGTCACCCTGCCACCCTGCCCGTAGCCATGGGCCCATTGGTGGTGCCCCTCAAGGACCTGACAGCTAGAAGGCTCAGTGACTGCTGATTAGTGGGAGACTGGAGGCCTAGATTCTGGAGCCAGACTCTCTGGGTTTAAATATCGCTTCTAGAGACTTCCACTTCCAGATACAGGAGAATAAGGTGGTCTGGGAGTATTCTCCCACCAAGAAAAACTAGAAAACTAGACAGAGACAGAATATAGAAAAACAATTAAATACATAGGACAACAGGCATCACAGGACTGTGATCCCTGAGGGGAAATAAATTAATGAAGCGAGCCTTGGCATTGCCAAGGCTGCGGGTGGATTTAATCACAGACTGCAGTGCCAGGCAGGAAGGAAAGCCCAGTCTGGCAGTCTCGCTGAATTGTGGAGATGGAGATCAGAATTCAAGACGGCTGGGATTTGCGGGATAGAGTGCCTAAGGGGAGAGCTGCACAGAGAGGGCCCCAGAAGTCTCACGGGGTCCCCTTGAGTCTTTGGCTGAATATCAGTCTGTTCGCACAGGGTGAAATTCCAGACAGAACAACTCTCAAAGAGAGAACAATTCTCAGGGCTGCAAATCTTTTGAGCTCCCTCCAGCCAGAGTCGAGAGATCTCACTGGATTCATGAGACATTCAGAAGAGACCCCAAAGGACAACACATTAGAAATAGAGTCAGCTTAGTCCTAGAATAGAGGCCATGCTAAACCTGCACCAAAAGAACAGGCCTGGAAAGGATAAAAATAATCTAGAAGTAGCTTAACTGCCTGCCAGAAAAAGTCTAAGACTTGTTTGAAGCGTACTTTCAACAATGTAAACAGTGTGAAATTCACAACGTTTGTCATCCAATAAAAAAATTACCAAATAGCCGTGGCTGGGTCGCTCAGCTGGAGCGTCATCTCATGCACCAAAAGGTTACAGGTTTGCTCCTTGGTCGGGGTGCGTATGGGGGCAACCGATTGATGTTTCTCTCTCATATCAATGTCTCTCTCTCTCTCTCTCTCTCTCTCTCTCTCTCTCTCTCTCTCCCCCTTCCTTCCTCTCTCTCTAAAGTCAATAAACATATCCTTGGGTGACGCTTTAAAAAAATTACCAGATATACAAAAGCAAAGGAAACTGTAACCAAGAGTCAAATCACTCAATTGAAAAAACCCAGAGTTGACAGAGAGGACAAGGACATTAAACAGCTGTTATAAACATGATCAGAATGCTCAAGGATATAAATACAAACGTGAGCATAACGCAGAGGCAGGTGGAAGATAGAAGACAGAAGTGAGAGGAACGTCTAGAAACGAAATAGACGACACCGAAGGGGGAAATTTTACTGCAAGGGATCACACAGATCAGACGCTGCAGTAGAACGGAACAGGGAATTGGGAGAAAGTGAAAGGCTCTACCAAAACGAAGCACAGAAAGGAAAAAATGACTGACCCTGAGCACGGAGCCTGAGTGGCCTGAGGCATAATATCAAGTGATCTTACATGTGTGGCTGGAGTCCCAGAAAGAGGAGAGACAAGGAATAACAGGAAAATATATATTTGAAGAAGTAATGGCCAAATTTTTTTTTTTAATTTGATAAAAACAAAGGTACAGATTCAAGAAGCTCAATAAATCCTAGTAGAATAAACAGACGTACACATAAAACACATCAAGGCACATTATAACCAATTGCTGAAAACCAGTGATAAAGAGAAAATCTGAAAAGCAGCCACGAGTGGGGAAATATATTACACACAGAGAATCAAAGATAAGAGCGACAGGCTTCTTGTCAGGAAGTGTGCAAGCCAGAAGGCAATGCAACAACATGCTGAAAGGAAAAAGCAACCTGCCAACCCAGAATTCCACGTTCAGAAAAAAGACCTTTCGTGCAAACAAAAGCTTGGAGAACTAATTGCTAGCAGACCTGCACTTTAAGAAATGCCAAAGGAAGTTCTTCAGGTAAAAGGAAAATACTAGATGGAAATTCGGAAGTACATAAAGGCATGAAGAGCATCAGAAACGGTAGATGTGTGGGTAAATATAAAAGACATATTCCTCATTTTTAAAATTTCTCTAAAAGACATTTACGGTTAAAGTAAACACACACACAGCGAATGTACTGTGGGGTTCGCAAAATAAGCAGAAGTAAAAACATAACAACAGTAGCTCAGAGGACGAGAGGGAGCTGTGGAAGCACATTGTTGTAAGGGTCTGACATCTTCTGTGAAGTGGTATAATGTTACCTGATAGTACTTTGTAGTAATAAAAGATGCATATAAAAAAAAATAAAACAAAGAAGTATAGTAAGTCAAGAGCAGGCATAAAGCAGAATTTTAAAAATCTCAATAAACCCAAAAGCAGGGAGGAAAAAGAGAGAATTGGGAACAAAGAACAGATGGGACAAATAGAAGAAAAACAGTAAGCTGGCAGATTTAAACCTGACCATACCAACAATTACCAGAAAGGTCTCAATCAGGGGTTGGCAAGCTATGGCCCACAGGCCAAATCTGGCTTGCCATCTGTTTTGGTACACAGGCTAAGAATAGTTTTCACATTTTTAAATAATTTAAAAGAAAGCAAAAAGAAGGGTCATATATCATGACACATGACATAAAATCCAAATTGTAGTGTCAGTGTCCATAAATAAAGATTTATTGGAACACAGCCACACTCACTCATTTGTGTGTTGTCTAAGGCTGCTTTCACACTGCAATCAGAGTTGAGTAGTTACGACAGAGACTGCATGGCCAGCAAAGCCTAGAATATTTACTATCTGGCCTGATAAAGAAAAAGTTTGCCAATCCCTGCTTCAAGGCCTAAATATAATACAGAAGGAGGTTGGAAGTGACAGGATGGGGGAAAGATATACTCTGCAAACACTAAGCATAAGAAAGCACAGCTATATCAATATTAAAGGTAACTTCAGAACAAGGACTGTTACCAGGAATAAACAGGGACATTATAATGAGAAAGAGATCAATTCATCAAGAAGACATAACAATGCTAAACACTGACACATCTACTTATAGAGCTTCAAAATTCATGAGGCAAAAACTGATGCAACTAAAAGGAAAAATAGATACAATTTCTCCACAATTACAGGTGGAGATTTCAACACCCCTCTCTCAATAATTGCTAGAACAAGTAGGCAGAAAATCAGCAAGGATGCAGACGACTTGAATAATGCTATCAGCCTACTGGCCCTGATGGCCATTTACCTTCTATGCAAGTGCACACAGAATAGCTATCAGGAAAGAACGTATTCAGAGCCACAAAACAAGTCTCAATAAATTTCAAAGGATTAAAATCCTACAGAGAATATTCTCTGACCACAATGGAACTAAATGAGAAATCACTAATAGGTCTCTGGAAAATCCCCAAAGCTGGCTCTATCACTGCCTAGCTGCATGACCTGGGATCACCAGTGAGGTAAGTATAATTGTGGGCCCCTCCTCACAGGGCTGGTGAGAGTTACATCTGTGTAAGTGCCCCCGGGGCCCAAGGGCAGTCAGTCTTTCTTACCTGGCCCTCTCTGTCCTACCACCTGGGAGAGAGGCCAGGCTTCCTGCAGATGGTACAGCTCTGAGAGGACCTTCCAGGCCACACCTTCTCCAGCAGGTAATATTGAAAACAGCCCTGGCCCTAGGTTGATTCCAGGTCAGGGCACATGCCCTGGTTGTGGGCTCGATGCCCCCACCCCTGTAGAAGGCAGCAAATTGATGTTGCGCTCTCGCATCATGTTTCTCCCTCTCCCTTCCTCTCTCTAAAAATCAATAAACTATTCTTTTAAAAAAAAGTAATGAAAACAGCAGCTGCCCTTTGCTGAGCACACATGCACAGCACTGTGCAAGGCGCTGGGGTGGGGTGGAGAGGAGGAGAAGAGAGGAATAATACAGCCTCCTGCAAAGCAAAACCAAAACCCAACACACACAGACCCAGCCTGATACCTCCTCTCTGGGAACCAAGTCTCTCCGAACCCACCACACCGGGCAATGTTGTCATTCACATAAGACAAAATGATTTAGTGCCTGGCAGACACCAGGACCACCTAGACTAGTGATGGCGAACCTATGACACGTGTGTCAGAGGTGACACGCGAACTCATTTTTTTGGTTGATTTTTCTTTGTTAAATGGCATTTAAATATATAAAATAAATATCAAAAATAGAAGTCTTTGTTTTACTATGGTTGCAAATATCGAAAAATTTCTATATGTGACATGGCACCAGAGTTAAGTGAGGGCTTTTCAAAATGCTGACACGCCGAGCTCAAAAGGTTCGCCATCACTGACCTAGACCCTAAAAATACAGTGTGGCTGACGGTGGTGGGTGAGAAGAAGGGGCCACTCACCATGACAGAGCAGGGGAGCCAATGGGGAGTTTGATTTCAGAGTAAGGATGTGAGCTCCGTTTTGGACAAGTTGAGTTTTAAGGAGGCCATCGGGCACCCAGGCAGGGTGGGTAATATGACCCCAGAAGCACAGGGCAGTGGGCCCCCCCAGAAGCTGCCTGTTTAGGTGTGGAGCACTCTGATGGTCGAAATGACGGAGGGGGCCCCTGGTGTCAGTGGCCGAGAACAGGTGTCTGACAATGCAGCCCAGTCTCCACAACAGGGAAAATCCGGACCGTGATTATCTGAGCCTATCTCCTTGGTACATAAAAACCAAAGTATTTTTACATGGTTACAATAGAAACTAAAATTTCTAAATTAAAAAAATCCTCACTCAAGGATATTTTTCCATTGATTTTTTTGAGGGTGGAAAGGAAGGGGAGGGACAGAGAGAGAAACATCGACTGGTTGCCTCCCACATGAGCCCCAAGCGAGGCACATGCCCTTGACCGGAATCGAAGCCAGGACCATACAGTTTGTGGGCTACACTCTATCCACTGAGCCAAACTGGCTAGGGCAGTGGTTGGCAAACTGCGCCTCGCGAGCCACACGCGGCTCTTCGGTCCCTTGAGTGTGGCTCTTCCACAAAATACCAACTTCTGCACATGAGCCACGAAGTTTCAATCGCACTGTACATGCGCGCCTGCACATGGTATTTTGTGGAAGAGCCACACTCAAGGGGCCAAAGAGCCGCATGTGGCTCCCGAGCCGCGGTTTGCCGACCATGGGGCTAGGATAAAACTGAAATTTCTAGAAATGCACCTATTACTTAGATTGAGGAAGAACTCGGTGCTGTTTTGTTTGAAACTTTGCCAAGAGATGCTCACCATTTTGGGAAACTGCATCTCTGACAGCACAGCCCTGCTCGTGGTACCTGAGTCACACCAAGACACTAGAACCAGCTGCATCCATAAACCGCCACCTTCACCTTTATATTCGTACAAACGCACTCATTCACCGACTATTTCAGTGTCGTCTCAGGTGTTGAAATAATTCTATTAAACGGCCTCACTTCCTGTGACTACACATTCGCATTACACGCAGGCACCTAACCGTTGCAGCCAGTCTTCTAGCATCGCCCCACCCAGCTATTATGCTTCACTAGCCAGCTGTTTTATCATAAATCACTTCCCTTTTTCTCCTTCTGTATTATAATTAGGGCGTTTTATTGCTTTGTTTGTATAGGTAGATAGATTATCCTTGAAATTCATCGGGGTGGAAAAGGGGATGTCACAGAACATTTGTTGTAAACAGGGCGTCACTGATGTGGAGGGAGGAAAGCCATGAGATGCAAGGGTGAAATGAAACAGGATCCAAAGATGCAGGTGGAAACTGGGAGGATTCAGCAAAGGGTTTCTAGGAGGAAGGTGGGAACAGGGGGTATTGGGCTTATCAATAAAGGGGTCCCGTGTGACCCCAGTGGAGATCCAGATACTGGCTAGATCTGAGGTTTGGGGGCTTCTTGCCAAGAGGGCGTGAGGAAAGGACAACTGGACCTGAGGAGGAGCTGAGGACAGTGGCAAAGGAGCAGCCAAAGACACGCCTGGGAGCCTGCCTAGGTGAACTGATGAGAAAGTAGGAAAGAGGAAGGTCCAAGGACTCATGTCCTGGAGTGACCGCGGGAGAGCCTGACCACTGAGTCAGCTCAGAAACTGACTTCCACAGCAGAGCTGTGCCGAACACTGACCAGCCCTTGGTGTGGCTGTAGGTGGCTGTGGACCCACTGGACACTGGTGACGAGGAGCCCCGGCAGCGGGTCCTGGCCCGGTTGCTGCTGTTGAGGTGGCAGCCAAGTCTGACAGGGTACTGGCACCTGCACCCACCACCCCACCACTGGCCCTGACCTGCCCAACCGTCGGGCCAGGGTCACTTTTGAAGATAATAACCACCTGTGGAAACATCTTTTGAACGAGCCAATGTGTGGGAAGACTCAGGGTGAAATGAGAGTGAGCCAGGTCAAGGGCTCCAGGGAGGGAGGGTGTGACTGGGGGTTTCCTGGTGACAGCCATGGGCAGGGGCAGGGACTGCCCAGCTGGGGAAGCCAAAATGGCCTGCAAAGAGGAGGTCCCTGATTCCCAGCCACCTCCTCACACACGTGCCTCCCCAGGCCTGTCTGGAGTGCACCTCCCTCTCCGTGGCACGGATGCCTGTTTCAGCCTTTAGGACGCAGCCTGCCACCTCCTCAGAGGGGCCTCCCCAAGCACCCCGTTCTCTACTGCTCTCTCCCTGCGTCGGGTTTGGTTCCTCACTACCAGTGTATGTGCATCTCATATGTCATTACACTGAAAGTACTAATGACTTCCACTTGGGGTGCACTGTAGGCAGAAGGAAGCTCCCCTCGCAAGATGTCTACACCCCAATCCTTGGATCTTGTATGTTCCCTCACAGTGTAAATGGCTCTTTGCAGATGATGAAATTAAGGGTCTTGAGATGGGGACAGAACCCCGGATTGGCCGGGTGGGCCCAGTGAAATCGGTGTCCTTCTCAGCAGCAGGAGGAGGTCAGAGACAAAAAGAGAGACTTGAAGATGTTTGCTCTGGCTTTGAAGATGGAGGCAGGGGTCATGGGCCAAAGCATGCAGGTGGCTCCTAAATGCTAGAAAAGGCAAGGAGATGGGCTCTCCCCGGAGCCCACAATGGTTCTCAACCTTCCTAATGCTGCGACCCTTTAATACAGTTCCTCATGTTGTGGTGACCCCCAACCATAAAATTATTTTCGTTGCTACTTCATAACTGCAATTTTGCTACTGTTATGAATCGTAATGTAAATATCTGATATGCAGGATGTATTTTCATTGTTCTCGACCCACAGGTTGAGAACCGCTGCGAAGAATCGGCCTGCAGACACCTTGATTTTAGTCAGTGAGATCCATTTCAAACTGCTGACCTCCAGAACCTTATGTTGCTTTAAGCCATTAAATTTGTGATTTTTGCAGGAGCACTAGAAAACAGATTGAAGACTTGAAATGAAGCAAATCCCAACAGGCTGGGAAAAAGCCATCAGTACTCAAAAGTTCCGAATCCAGTGGACCAAGTGAATGGCAAACAAGGCCACCTGGTAGTTAGTCCCTCTTAGTTGGGAGAGAGAAACACCTGCTGCCATTACGGTTAGTCTTGAATTAAACAAGTTGGGAATTAGACAATATCTTTGGCACATATGCTTGGCATGAAATATGACGTCCCTGTGTTTATGTATCTGTTCACTTGTTTATTCTCGGCTCCTCTGCCTCTCGAGGGCTGATTCTTCACCCGAGTGCCTGACCGAGTGCCTGTTTGTGCAGGAATTCTGACCGAGAGGAGGCGAGGAAGGGGTGCTCCCTGAGAAGGCCTGGTGCCTGGGACGGCCCTGGAGGAGTCACCAGGGGCCTAGAGAGCAGGGCTGGGGCTGGCTGGTGTGAGTGGCACTGGGGCCAGCTTGGCCCTGCCAGCCCTGCCTCTAGCCGAATGCATGCTCTGTAGTAAATCACTCCTTCTCTCCGGGTCTGCCTTCTAACAAGCCAGGAGAACATGCTCTTCCCTAAGCATTCTCCTCGGGTTTCTGTGGGTCTAATGAGGGAAGGGAGGTGAGGAGAGTTATATGATCTGCAACCAAGTCCAGGTGCTACTTGGAAGACGGGGAGCAAACTCGAGTGCTTATGGAGGCCAGGCCAGACGTGACTGGAGGGGGAGAGGGGATGAGGCCGAAGGAACAGACAGCAACGCCAGGTGGAGATGCCAGCTGAGCACCACCAGAGCTGAATTTTCTAGAAGAGAAATCTGGATTTGTGAGTGAGTTTGCCCAATGTTTACATGTTGCCAACTAATTTTTTAAAAATGTAAACTGTGGGCCAGACCATAAGTTGGTGTCTGCTCTCTGACACGTAGCTTCTCAGAGCTTGTCCAAGCTGCCGGGTCCCCGTAGGACTTGAGGGACCAGGTGTCCCTGTCTGGGCCTTGGCCTCAGGATAGTGAAGGATGTCCTGGCTCAAGGATTCTGTCTCTGTGAGCCCCAGAGCAACGTTTGAGACAGCGACAGCACTGGTCCCACTCTGATCGTGACCCCTCATGTCAGCAGAAGCACTTTTCTGTAATAGCCTCACTGAATCCTTACACCCTGAGCCATGGGTGTTCTTATCCCCATTTCCCAGATGAGGAGACTGAGGCATGCAGAGGAAATATGGCCTATCCAAGGTCACACAGTTAGTGAGTGGCAGAGCGGGGACTCAGCTCTCCCCACCCCATTCCCTGGCACACAGCTGGCAGTGGGGACCAGGGATCCAACCAGGCCTCAGAGTGACCCCTCCCAGTCCCAGGCGGCAGACAGAAAGCCTCTCACCAGACTCCACTGACGCAGCGAGTAGACAGCGCCCGGGGCATGATCTCCGAGCCCTGCTGCATGAAGCCCCCGACGGGGAACCAGAGGCTGTTGCCCAGCGTGTACTGGTTCTCTAGGATGTGGGGGCGCGCCCGCAGGCATGGGTGTGGGTTATACCACTCATAGGGGCTCAGCCTGCAGAAAGAGAGACATGGTGGGGACATATGAAGAGGGTCAAGGGGGGGTGGAGAGAAACAGGAACGAGACAGAGCAGCGTGATCAGGAGAGATGTGGGAGAGACAGGAAACGGAGGGTAAAGGGACCAAGATATGAACAGAGAGAGACACACACGAGAAGAGGTGGGAAGAGAAACACATTGAGAGAGAGAGAGAGAGAGAGAGAGAGGCAGAGAGACACACACCGAGATGGAGAGACGCAGAGAAGAGGCAGAAAGAGACAGAGAGAGACACACACAGAGAAACAGAGAAAGACAGAAAGAATGGGAAGGGGAGCAGCCCAGAGAGAGGGCCATAGAGCAAGTCAGAGCCATAGGGTGAAATGCAGAGACAGGGCCAGGATGGGAGAAGGAGAGTGCAGGGAATCCAAGGCCCCGGGCAGAGGCCGAGGATGTGCAGACAGAGGACAGAATGTGCAGGTCATCGTGGGACCCAGCTCAGGCCTCCTCCCTACCCTCTCTTCCCAGGCAGCAAGCCGTGGGCTCACCTGGCAGCCAGGAACAGGATGCAACTGACGGCCAGGTAGGCAAGAAGCATGAAGAGCCACACAGCAGGGGAGAAGGGGTCCAGGAAGGAGAAGTAGCCAGGCTTGCGCCCCTGTGGGGAGAGGGAGTGAGACCCCGAGCCACCCTGACCTGAGCTGAATGCCAGCCCCTGCTCCCCACCACCAGCGGCCCATGAGACCAACTGGCCCTGCCCGGGTCCGGCCCCTGCCTCCAGCCCCCATGTCTCCACGGGAACCGTACCATGTGCACTCGGTAGAGGATGCTGATCCCCAGGGTCATGAAGGGTTTGGAGAAGTCGATGACCTTTTCCCGCTCGGCTGTGATGGTGAATGCAGCCACAGCCAGGTCTGCCTTCTGCTGAGGGGAAGCAGGGCGGGCAGAGGGGTGGGCAGGGAGACAGACAGGCAGTCAGTCAGGGAGAAACGCACGGAGAGCAACTAAGAGAGAATATCAGAAGCCGAATGAGGCCAGGAGCGAGGACAGGAGGGGCAGGAGCCTGGACCCCGTCACCTCACATCTGCTGGAAGAAGCTCCTGTGGCCTGTTTCCTGCCCAGCTGCCCTGCCTCTTTCAGTCCTTCCCACCCCCATCAAGTTCATCACTAACGTGCTGCTTTATAAAACCTGCCACTGACCCTCACGCCCCACTCTGGGGTCCTGGAGAGAACCCGGGATTGGTGTTGAGATGCCTGCACGCTGACCCACTCAGGACCCTCTGGGGGCCTTGGCTTCTGTCTTAGTTCAACAGGCAACATCTGTCACACGCTTCCTCTGTGCCAGGCTCCATGCCAGACAGCACTGCATAGAGATCACCCATGTACTCCTCCCACCAGCTCCCTCAGGGCCACTACTAGCCTGTTCTGTGGATGGGGAAACTGAGTCTCAGAGGGGCAAAGGCACTAGCGAATAGAGGCAAGAGCTATGGCCTCTACTCCCCTGCCCCTGGTGGACACTAGCAGCAGGTTCAGTGCCCAGCTCAACTGAGATCCTGACTTCGGGGGAGTGGAGCTGGGGTCCAGGTCTGACATGGGGAAGGGTGGGGGTGGGGCTAGGTGAGACAAAAAGAAGGTTGGGGCTGGCACACCTGGAATCCCTGCTCCAAAAGGGCCATCTCGCTCTGGCCGAAGTGGACATTAGCTGACCTTTAACTGTGGGCAGACACAGCTGGGAAAAAACCTGGCACTTCTCATACCCTCCCCTCACCCGCCAGACACACACACACACACACACACACACACACACACACACACACACCCTGCACATGTGAGCATTGTGCACAGTCACATCTGCACCACCACCACTGTGAGCTCAGCACGCCACATCCACACAGGCTGACCAGTGACGCACCGCCCACAAAGACGCAGGCAGATAGATGCACGCCCCGTACACAAGTGTGGGGAGGAGTGGAGACACACGGGAGAGCAGGCATTGCCAGAGGCATAGCGCCCACACTTGCACACATGGCCCTCACATGTGTGCATACGATAGCCCAAGGGGGCTGGGAAGGACCAGGTGCGGAGCAGGGATCCCCAGCTCTGCCCTGAGCGCTGGGTGACTTCAGGCAGGGGCTTCCACATCTATGGGCCTCTGTAAAATGGGGGTGAGGGCTAGGACCCAGCACCCAGGATGTCCCTTCCAGGCATAATGACTCTAAGCAGAGACCTCCCTCTGGGGCTGAAATAAGAGTCAAGGTCCTGGCCCTAACCGGTTTGGCTCAGTGGATAGAGCATTGGCCTGTGGACTGAAAGGTTCCAGGTTTGATTCTGGTCAAGGGCATGTACCTTGGTTGCGGGCACATCCCCAGTAGGGGGTGTACAGGAGGCAGCTGGTCGATGTTTCTCTCAACTCTCTATTCCTCTCCCTTCTTCTCTATAAAAAAATCAATAAAAATATATTAAAAATTTAAAAAAAAGAGTCAAGGTCCTGGACCTCTGGCCCAGGGGTGATATGCACTCAGCCCACAGGAGCTGAGACTGACAGCACATGAGGTAATACAGGCCCCAGCAGAGCCCAGGTGGCGAGAGAGGCACAGATCCAAAGGTAACCACAGACAGAGAGAGGTGGCACAGGCTGGAAACAAAACCAAGGTCAAGGAGAGAGCTCGTAGGCCCAGAATGAAATGCAGGGTCAGGCCTCAAAGACAATGTGATGACAGAGAGAGGACAGACCCAAAAGCTAAACCAAGAGGAGAGAGAGATGGCACAGGCCAACAACTAGCCCAGGGCGAGGGAAAGATGGCACCGCCACAGTATGACTTGGAAGCGGAGTGGCACAGCCCCAAGGAGAATTCAGACGCAGCGGCGTGTGGCAGGGCCCAGAACACGGCTGGATTCGGAGAATACCCTTGGGAATCCCTAGTTGTTGAGAGTAAGGAGTATTTCCCCCTTTCTTGTGCCACTTTTATGACTAACATGTGAATTGTCTAGAATAATCACAGCTAATACAGGAAGCCAATTATTTTATGCACCCAGGGAAGCTGTGTCCTGGCAAGGCCCTACTGGGGGCCCAAGTCCCCATTTCAGAAAGCAGGAGGCAGTGGCATTTCAGAGAAGGGGTCCAAAGGACGCAGGGGTCCCCAGGCCAGGCGCTCAGGAGCCCACTTCCCAAGGCCTGCAGGGCTCCGGCTCCTTTCTGTTCCATCCCTGGCTCGCTCACCAGCCTCCTCACCCACTCCTGAGACCTGGCCTCAGGCCAAACCCTGGGCCGCCTGCTTCTTTCCCGCATGCTCCACATCTCCTCCCGTGGCAAGGGCAACGGCTCTGCTTCCAAGGCACTCCTGCGATCTGCCCACTTCTCTCCACCTCCACCCCGAGGCCCAGACCACCGGTCTTTCTCCTGACAACAGCATCAGCCTCGCTGGCTTCCCTCTGGCCACTCATAACCCCCAATCCAAAGGGGGGGGGTGCTGCTTAAAATCCATTGGTGGCTTCCCACTGCACCTAGGACCAAACCCTTTCACAGCCAAGAGACTCTACATGATCTGAAACCCATCTGCCCACTGGCCTCCCCTCATGGCCTTTCCCCTCACCGACTCACCTCCAGTCCACAGCGGCTGCTTTTTGCTCTTCAACACAGCAGGCTCAGGCCTCTGCACGTGCTCCTCCTGCTCTTCCTCCCATTCGAGGCTTCGCTCATATCTCACCCCTGTGGCCTTCCCCACAATGCCCTCCAGGCCATACTCGCCCCACCCCATGTTCCTCTTTCTCATTGCCCGTTACCCTGTTTTACATCCTTCTTAGCACTACTGGAGGAGACCCTGTTTGCTTATTAATGGACTGTCTTCCCTACTAAATTACAAGCTCCTTGCCTATCTGGTTAGAGGTGCAGCCCAGAGCCTACACAGAGTAGGTTCCCAACATACTGACATGACATACTCCTTGCTTCTGACCAAGTCCAGCCTCTCTGAACAAACCAAAGCTGCTCTGGCTCCCCACCAAATTCCTGGGCCTCTGGCTGCTCCCTACCCTACCCTCCTCCCC